ATGACGCCTTTTTTAGGCTGACGAGTCTCCGTCATGCTCGACTGACTCGCCCACCATGTCACCAACTGAGGCGAGTCGTTGGTCCGGAGACAGGCTGGGCATCTCAGTTCCACCTCCACCCTGTCACGGCTCGCCGATCGCCACGGTCCGATTGGCGACGTCCGCGTCAGCCAATCGGTCGTCTCGGACGGCCTGTCCATCCCGTCTCTCCACCAGCACACCGCGACGCACTCTCCTCGACACGAGGGCACAAGGCAAGCCGACCGGCCAGCCGCATGGGTCTGAGGTGGAGGAGGGCCGACTCTGGATCTATCAATCCAGTCGCAGCCGTCCAAAACGTGGCCAAATGTGGATTTGCCTCGAGCCCCGCTCGAAGTCGAGTGGCCGCCCTCTCGTCGTGCAGCTCGACTGCCCTCGCAGCCACTCTCGTCATGGCACAAGCGGATTCGGGAACTGTTGAAGAGAGGCGCAATATGAAGTGGCGACACAGACGTCACATCACACCCTCGTACGTCCTGCTTAGCCGCGGTGCAGGCCAGACAAACAGCACTCGAAAGTGTCGGTCCCTTCTTGTTCCACCTTAACTGACAGTCACAAGACGCACCACCATCAAATCTGTTGCAAACTACACATTTCCCTGTGGCCTTGCCTTGATGGAAGCTCCGTCTGTGTATGTACGTGTGTATCAGTGTGCGTGTATGCGCTTATGTATGTGTGTATATGTGAATACGTGTGTGTGTGTGTGTGTGTTACGGACTAGAGACTTGCTGCTTGCGGCATGTGATTCGGTTTTGAATGCCGTGAGAGCTGCTGATGGGACGCCGGTGGAACGAGGTGGGAGGTGAGGGCGACGTTATTGTTGGGTGTGAAAAGGTTCTCTAAACCATCGAGACGATCAGTTCGAGGAGGAACTGGTGCGATTGACGGCCCAGGCGTCTGGCCGATCTGCGAGCCTGTCGTTGCCGTACGGACACGCAAAGCGCCCGGCGGCCTGGCCCAGTCGCTTGGGTGGGCCAGACTCCGCGAGCCAAGAGGAATGCAATCCCTTTCCGAAGCAGGTCGCCAACCCAACCCGACCCGACCCGACCCCACCGGACGCCTTGGAGAGGCTTGCGAGTGGAGGAGCATCGAACTCACCTCCGTGCACCGTCAGCGAGCAAGGCGGTGAGGACACCTGTTTCTAGGCCCGCCTTCGGCATGCCCACAAGGTCAGGCCGACCGTTGATCTTTTAGGTGAGCTGTCTTCATTGTGGTCAGTTCAAGTTGATGAGGGCACTGGTTGTTGAATTGTACCACAATCAGTTGCCATTGCAGTTCGCAAAGCCGTGCTCCCTCAAAAAGTATTCTCATTGCATGTCTACATCTCACTGAACGATCTACTGGCAGTCAAGACGAAAGATAAATAGTGTGT